ACTTAGTTTTGCCGCCACAGAGCACAGAGCAAAGACACTGATTTGCCCCCACAGAGAGGCCGCTTTGCTTTGCCCCCACAGAGACACTGATTTGCCCCACAGAGAGACCGCTTTGTTTTGCCCCCACAGAGAGACCGCTTTGTTTTGCCCCCACAACACAGAGAGACACCACTTTTTCCCCAGAGAGAGAGGAAGATACTGTTTTGCCACCACAGCAAGAAAAGTAAGAGATGAACACATTAGAGAGAGTCCCACCCTGAGCCTCACAGCAGCGTTCACCGTCTCAAGTCCCCACAGCACTGCTCATAACTTTGTATTTACATTTACAGGCCTGTGGTGTCCACCTGAGGCCACGTGGGGCTCCACTGCAGCTGCTCCATCAAGTCCATCCAGCATCGGCCGCTCTGTTCCTGGCCTGGGTTTTTATAGGCTGGCGCTCCATGACAATGACATCATCACACTCACCGATGCCATTGCCTTGCAACCAACCACTGTGGCCTCCACCGGCCGAATACACGGTCACAATGGTCTCGGACTTGGGCAGCCCTGGAACTGTGCATGCGCAGTTTAGAGCCTAGCCATTGCAGCCATTTTTCACTGACACTTTTCTCCTGTTACGGGCATTTACGGGCAGGAGAAAAGTGCCAGGTTTTTACTGGTTGTCCGTAAAATAACGAACGGTTGGCAACGTTGTCGCAGACTTCTGGAAAAAGATACATATTTAAAGTATAAAGACAAAGCACCATAGGAAGCATGAAAAGGTGAACGATGCAGCGCAGTGAATTGTTAGTATAGATAATTTGTCCTAATGGTGAGCAGACTTCAAACATGAAAGCACAGATCCATTCAGCCTTCTATCAACGGTTCAGGTTGGTAATGGTGTGGGGGATAATTTTTTGGCACTAGCAAGGTGTACCTCATAAAATGGCTGGTTAGTGTATGCTAAAATCAGAAAACAGTGGCCATTTTACCTTCAATGCCAATGCTGAGCTATGTCCCATAGATCGCTTGCCACCAGGCTGAGAAGGGTCACCAGACGACTTTTGTTACTAATTCTGTTCCCTCCGTGAAAGCTTCACCACTCTGAAGAAATTAGTCAATCACACTATCCAGTAGAACCATGAAAAAACAGCTGAATTTGGCTGCAGACAGTACACATCTCTCGATCAACAGATTTCCTGGCCATTTTTTCTTGGGTGTTTCTTTTTAAATCTTCGATTGTTGAGGTTGTATACTGGATGTCATGGTGGTCCCTATTTAGATGTTCAATATGTGAATAACACTGTTCAACAGGTAAAACGTTTTGGGCATAAAATTAGCTAATCTTACATAATTTTGGGGTGCTGAAAACGAAAATGACCCTAAAAAATGTTGATTGGCTCTAGTTTCCATGATATATTCACCCATCTAATGACGTAAGCCATTCAAAATTATGATGCAACTTCAGCTGCATATTGCGCAATTGATACTGGTGACCAATAGAAAATTGCATGTATACTGAGATGATGCAATATTAGCCTTTAATTGCATCACTTCACTGCATAAAAGCTGCAGTATCTGTAGCTGATTGTAGTTCCACAGCGTCTTTACATTTCGTTTTATGCTTATATAGGCTACTCAGTAATGCCTGGAACTTGTGTGAATAAAGCAGATAATTTCTGCTATATCTGCGGTGAAATAACTTTTATCTCACAAAAAAGGAGGATAACAGGAATGATTAAGAAAGCCTACAACTTGTATTTTGGCTGCAAGATAGGAGACCAGGACAAGAGCTGGGCACCACATATATGCTGCAATTCTTGTGGGACGGCACTGGAGCAATGGTTGAATGGAAAAAAGGCATCTATGCCTTTCGCTGTGCCAATGATTTGGAGAGAGCCAACAGATCATGTTAGTAATTGTTACTTTTGTATGGTGCCTCCAATTGTAAAAGGGCTAAATAAAAAGAAAAAGTTATCTGTGCACTATCCAAATATTCCATCGGCAATACGTCCAGTTCCTTATGGAGAGGGGCTACCAATTCCTAAAGCCAGAATCCTTCATGGTTGAGTCAAGTGAGGAAGAACCTGAAGCGTGTAGTCACGTGCAGTTGTAAGAGATAGCCCTTTCCTCGAATACAAGAGAAAAGCCAAGAGAAGCAAAACCGACACAAACTGAAGACAAAACTAGTGAGAATCCTAAGTATTAAAATGATTCAACTTAGCTTATGGCTATAATTTTTCTTGGTAATCCTATGCAATATATTATGCCATTTAGGCTTTGTTATGTAGTCAATATCACTTGCTTTATATTTGTGGAAAGACATCTATCTATATAATTATTGTGCATTATGTAGTCATTACGCTTATAGTAGAAAACGTTCCGTTTACAGAAAAACTAGAGCCAATTGACAAATTTCATTGTTATATTTGAACTCAGAATGTGAAATTCATTAAGAAATGGATCCTTTTGTTTCCAAAACTGGCAAAAAATAAAAATTTGTTGAACAGTGTAATCAGCCATGTGCTTGGCCTAATTTTAACATGCAGCTTCTATAAAGCAGCCCAATCACTAAAGATGATGTGAACCCAATCAATAAAATCCAATAGAAGTTTTTGCATGTGACCTGGGATTCAGGTTGTGGAGGTCCTCAAAGGTCCAAGGGGTCAAACTGAAAATGCAGACTAGAGACCCATAGAGAGGTCTGAGGTATCTACTGGAAAAAAAAAGAGGAGAGGGGCAGTGGTGTTTGTAAAGTTATCACCTAAAGTAATTAATCTGATTAAAGAAAAAATAAAAAATGGCTTGCTTCTGATGAGGTTGTAGTGACCCAGGTGGGTAGAAATATGGACCTATCTTAAAAGGCCCCACCTCTACGCGTGGTGGGACTGGTCATGCTGAATGCCGCTAGGGTCCCAATCCTGGATCCTTCTATGGGTTCTGAGGTGCTTGTAGGATGAGAGGAGGTCAAAAACCCGTCAGTGAACTGAATTGCCAAGGCACCTGTGGTGTGGTGTGGTGTGTTTAAGGATGAGTTGGAGTCAACAAGTCTGATGAACATTAAATAGCTTTATTTCAATGAAATAGGTGAAATAAAGATATCTGATGTTCGTTAGACTTGATAACTCTGACCCATACTCAAATATACCTCACCGGGTGCCTCTGATGTTCGTTTCACCAATGGATTTTTGACTTTCTCTCTTCCTTTGCATGTGATCATTGCTTCAAAAGTAATTTTCAGTCTTTTAACTAGAATGCAAAGGTGAGAAATGTCATCCAATTAGGATTTATATCTACTTTAAAAAATTTAATTGAGAAATGTTGCCTGACTGCTGCAGATATCATTGCCTTATAGTAGAACTATAGGCAAACCTTTTTTTTTTTTTTTGGATAGAGTTATAACCCCGTCAGTTTTTTTGTTAACCATCTGTGTCCCATTGGGGCGATTCCTCTTCACTTCCTGTCCCATAGACAAACAGGAAGTGAGAGGAAATCCCTGCAAATTAAGGGAATCCTTTGGGGAACCCTACATCACCAGAACTAGTGTCCCCATTGGAAGGGTTTCTGGGGACAACCCAAAATTGGCAGATTTTCTTTTACTTTCGCTTTCAAAGATAATGGTAAAATAGAGAGGGAGAATCTTAAATACAGGGACACAGACAAAAATAAAAACTAACAAGTGTTCTAATCCATCTCTACTCCACTAAAAAAAGAAAAATTGCCTTTAGTTTTACGTTAAACCTTTGGCCCTTTAAAACCCCCATTGTTCACAGCAATAAGCTGAAAGTATATCTTAAGGAAAAACTTTTTTTTTTTAGTTTTGGATAGAGTGGAGATGGATTAGAACCCCTGTCACCTTTTATTGCTGTCTGTGACCCCGATAGGAAAATTCACCTTATTACTATTAGTATTAGAGGAGAACTCTTCCAATGGGTATACTAGTTCTGGTGATCTGGGGGTCAGCAAGAAATTTCCTTAACCTCCCTGGCGGTATGATTATTTCAGATTTTTGGTGCTGAAAGCGGTACCATTATTTTGCATGGAAATATGTAGTTTTTTATTGCAGGCTGTAATTTTTAGGAAAAACTCCCTGAAATCTGTCCGAACAAGAGTCTATTAAACATCCCGGGTATGATAAAATTTGAAACACAAAATCATAAATTATAATTTAATAAATAATCATAAAAATAATAATATAATAATAATACATTTAATTCAATAATATAATCAAACCAAAAACACTGAAATTTGAAATATAGCGCCAAGTTCGCACATCGCTGAGCAAAGTCGCAAAATTGTCTGATGACGAATTTCCCCCATGAATCATTATCACTCAATTCTGCAAGTGGTTCTAATTTACTATCGCTGTTCTCTAGCCGGTCTAAAACCGCTTTTGACCTAAAGGGACACTTTTTGGACGCCATGGACTTTTCTAAGTTTCCAGGCAGAAAGAACAGCAAAAATGCAGGCAGGGCGCCGGACAAAGCACTCGGGACAAAATGTATGTGAAATGGGTTGAAACAGCAATGTTTTACTATGTAAAATCGTTTTGAAAAAAAATTACTTTTTTTAAATTTTTCAAATTTCCCGCCGCCGCCCGTACGTCCCGACGTCACAGGGAACGGAATACAGGAGCCGGATGCCGGCATCGGCCGGAGGAGATGGCCGGGGACGCTGCAGGGGACACATCGCGGGAGCGAAGGACAAGGTAAGTGCTGCAGAGACTCCCTATGCAACGCTGCATGGTAAGCCCGAGTGTAGCTCCAAAGACATGCTGGTACATTAATTGGATCCTGTCTAAATTGTCCCTAATATGTGTATGTATGAATGTAAGTTAGGGGCTTTTGATTGTTCACCCCTTGAGAGTTAGGGACTGATGTGAATGTATAATATATACCGTATTTTTCGCTCCATAAGACGCACCTAGGTTTTAGAGGTGAAAAACAAGAAAAAATAAATATTCTGAACCAATGGACTGCAGACACAGTACAGGAGATGACCAGAGACTGCGGACACAGTACAGGGGATGACCAGAGACTGCGGACATAGTACAGGGGATGACCAGAGACTGCGGACAAAGTACAGGGGATGACCAAGAGACTGCGGACATAGTACAGGAGATGACCAGAGACTGCGGACATAGTACAGGAGATGACCAGAGACTGCGGACATAGTACAGGAGATGACCAGAGACTGCAGACAGTACAGGGGATGACCAGAGACTGCGGACATAGTACAGGGGATGACCAGAGACTGCGGACATAGTACAGGAGATGACCAGAGACTGCAGAAACAGTACAGGAGATGACCAGAGACTGCGGACACAGTACAGGAGATGACCAGAGACTGCGGACACAGTGCAGGGAATGACCAGAGACTGCGGACACAGTACAGGAGATGACCAGAGACTGCGGACACAGTGCAGGGAATGACCAGAGACTGCGGACAGTGCAGGGGATGACCAGAGACTGTGGACATAGTACAGGAGATGACCAGAGACTGCAGACAGTGCAGGGAATGACCAGAGACTGCAGACAGTGCAGGGGATGACCAGAGACTGCAGACAGTGCAGGGAATGACCAGAGACTGCAGACAGTGCAGGGAATGACCAGAGACTGCAGACAGTGAAGGGGATGACCAGAGACTGCTGACCTTTGGGGAGGGAGGGGGAGCGGGTACCTGAATTTGACAGGTACCCGCTCCCACTTCCGCGGAGTTGCCTTCCCTCTTCTTCCCGGGCCGGCTTCTGTGACAGCCGGGTGCCCACTGCGCAGGTGCGAGAAGCGCTTCGCTTTGTGAATGGGCCGGCGCCTTCTGGGACCTTTCATGTGTCCCAGAAGACACTGGATCATTCACAAAGCGCAGCACATGCGCAGTGGACACCCGGCTGTCACAGAAGCCAGCGCGGGAAGACTGTGCAGCGCTGGAGCGAGGAACAGGTAAGGCCCTGCAGGAGAGAACAGCTGAGCGGCCGGCCCGGTATTCTGACATGGTGGCCGCAAAAATACCGGACCGGCCGCTTTATATTCGCTCCATAAGACGCACTGACATTTTCCCCCCTTTTTGGGGGGGAAAAAAGTGCGTCTTATGGTGCGAAAAATACGGTATGTAAAGCACTGCCTAAATTGACAGCGCTAAGTACCTCAAATAAATAACACACATTCATCATACAAATACAGTATACACACTTAGGACATGCAGATATACATAGAAGGGTCATAAATAATTTCAGGGCTGTCATTTTTCGTTTGTATTAACAATGTGTATTAACAATTTAACATTTTTAATTTACACAATTTTCATTTTCACAATTTGATTATATTACACAATTTTAATGTGTACAATTTTAAAATCTATACATGATTTTTAAATGTAGCAGAAATTTTTGGAGATTATGTCGTATTGTGTGTACACTATAACAAATCTGTATTTATCTGGAACATACTGATGTGTTAAATATTTTAGAGCAACTATCATAGGAAGTAGAAAATTTGAAGCCATCTGTTAATTCTATAGTACCTGAACTTTGATTAAAAAAAATGTTGCTTGAGGGACAGGGAGTCCTCAGAATTTTAACCTCCCTGGAGGTATGATTATTTCAGATTTTTGGTGCTGAAAGCGGTACCATTATTTTGCATGGAAATATGTATTTTTTTATTGTAGGCTGTAATATTTAGGAATAACTCACTGAAATCTGTCCGAACAAGAGTCTAGTAAACATCCCGGGGATGATAAAATTTGAAACACAAAATCATAAATTATAATTTAATAAATAATCATAAAAAATAATAATATAATAATAAATTTAATTCAATAATATAATCAAACCAAAAACACTGGAATTTGAAATATAGCGCCAAGTTCGCACATCACTCAGCAAAGTCGCAAAATCGTTTTCAGTGTCTGATGATGAATTTCCCCCACGAATCATTATCACTCAATTCTGCAAGTGGTTCTGATTTACTATCGCTGTTCTCTAGCCGGTCTAAAACCACTTTTGACCTAAAGGGACGCTTTTTGGACACCATGGACATTTATCAGTTTCCAGGCAGAAAGAACAGACAAAATGCAGGCAGGGCGCCGGACAAAGCACTCGGGACAAAATGTATGTGAAGTGGTTTGAAACAGCAATGTTTTACTATGCAAAATTCGTTTTAAAAAAAATGACATTTTTTTCAAATTTTCAAATTTCCCGCCGCCAGCGGCGCCCGTACGTCCCGACTAGAGATGAGCGAATCGAACTCGGCGAAGTGGAATTCGTTTCGAATATTAGGAAAATTTCGATTTTTCAAAATTTTTCCTAAAATGGCGGCGACATGTGCGGCGACGGAGCGGGGATGTCTGGGAAGGCACGCAGACAAGGCGCGCTGACCCATAATGCATTCATTCATGACATGTGATCGCATTAGCCAATCAGCAGCCAGCCAGCACTGTGTAATGGTCGAGCTATAAATGGCGGCCATTTTAGAATTCTCCATTTGCCTCCAGTCATTCAAGAGAGGCAGACCTGGCTGTATGAGGGAGAGAGTTAGGGACACAGAAACGTTACTTACGGCCAGAGAGAAACGTTACTTAGGGACACAGAAACGTTACTTAGGGCCACAGAATCGTTACTTAGGGACACAGAAACGTTACTTAGGGCCACAGAAACGTTACATAGGGCCAGAGAAACGTTACTTAGGGCAACAGAAACGTTACTTAGGGCCACAGAAACGTTACTTAGGGCCACAGAAACGTTACTTAGGGCCACAGAATCGTTACTTAGGGCCACAGAAACGTTACTTAGGGCCACAGAAACGTTACTTAGGGCCACAGAATCGTTACTTAGGGCCACAGAAACTTTACTTAGGGCCACAGAAACGTTACTTAGGGCCACAGAATCGTTACTTAGGGCCACAGAAACTTTACTTAGGGCCACAGAAACGTTACTTAGGGCCACAGAAACGTTACTTAGGGCCACACAGAATCGTTACTTAGGGCCACAGAAACGATACTTAGGGCCACAGAATCATTACTTAGGGCCACAGAACCGTTACTTAGGGCCACAGAAACGTTACTTAGGGACACAGAATTGTTACTCAGGGGACAGACACAGAATTGTTACTGAGGGACACAGAATTGTTACTGAGGGACACAGAATTGTTACTCAGGGACAGACACAGAATTGTTACTCAGGGACAGACACTGAATTGTTACTCAGGGACAGACACAGAATTGTTACTCAGGGACAGACACAGAATTGTTACTCAGGGACAGACACAGAATTGTTACTCAGGGACACAGAATTGTTACTGAGGGACACAGAATTGTTACTGAGGGACAGACACAGAATTGTTACTCAGGGACAGACACAGAATTGTTACTGAGGGACACAGAATTGTTACTGAGGGACACAGAATTGTTACTCAGGGACAGACACAGAATTGTTACTGAGGGACACAGAATTGTTACTGAGGGACACAGAATTGTTACTGAGGGACAGACACAGAATTGTTACTCAGGGACAGACACAGAATTGATTACTGAGGGACACAGAATTGTTACTGAGGGACACAGAATTGTTACTCAGGGACAGACACAGAATTGTTACTGAGGGACACAGAATTGTTACTGAGGGACACAGAATTGTTACTGAGGGACACAGAAGTGTTACTGAGGGACACAGAATTGTTACTCAGGGACACAGAATTGTTACTCAGGGACAGACACAGAATTGTTACTCAGGGACACAGAATTGTTACTCAGGGACACATAATCGTTGAATTAAAGAGTATGTCAGACAACATGCAGAGGAGTGGCAGAGGAGGCAATGTTTTAGGAGCGAGCAGACGTGGCAGCAGAGGAAGGGGTCGAGGCAGCACTAGTCGCAGCCAGAGGCCATTGCTCCCGGTGTCATCCAGCGGTCGTGTCTCCACCGACAACCCTGCCGTCATCGATTGGTTGGCTCGGTCGTCTTCCTCTTCCCAGGTCACCTCTGACACCTACAGCCAACGGTCGGTGGGTAACGTCAGACACAACCGTTAGTTGGCATGGCCCGGAGCAAGCCCACTGAAATCACGTGTCCTCTACCTGCCCCTGTCCTTTGGTGTTCCCTCACCAAGCGAAGTATCGCATGCTGTGGGCTCAGCCCCACTGTACAGTGAGGAAGAGCTAACAGAGGGCGGTCAGGAACGGGGGAGACATCCGCCTCTTCAGCAGCCAGGCAAAGAAGTAGTGGCGAGGAGAGTGGCTCTCGGTAGCCGGTCTAGAGACAGGTCTGTCTCCTGACCCACACGCAGCCGAGGGGGCTAGTAGTGAGGCGGAGACCCTAATTGATGATGATGAGGCTGATCGCACTTGGCAGCCTCGTCGTCATCAGGCTATTGCTTCCGCATCATCAGGAGAAGAGGGTGGCAGCTTGGCAGCGAGCAAAACAGTCGGTGGGTTGCCCAGGAGGCAGCAGGGTCGCAGCAGTGTCAGTGGAGGCAAACGGCCACGGAGTAGAGCACCAGCTCCACTGCAGCCTACCACCACGGCCAGTAGTGGTGCCGGTGTGCACGGAGGAAGTAGCAGTCAGCCAGTGAGGAGTATCGGGGGCAAAGTTTCCTACTCGGCGGTGTGGCAATTTTTTCGTCAAGCCGCCCGAGGAAGTAAACGTAGCCGTATGTCGACTATGTGGCCAGAAAGTCAAGCGTGGCCAGGGGGCCCATGTTGGGACTACAGCGTTGCGTCAGCATATGCAGCGTCGCCATTTGGTGGCCTGGGAAAACCGTGATAAAGATACGGCGGTTCTGCCTGCCCCAGCCCCCGCTCCATCACCCGCTCCGTTACTTGCTCCGTCACCCGACGTCAATCGCCCTCTATCAGCCAGTCAAGGCTCCAACACCTCTGCTGAGGGGTTTGTCGCTCGTTGGCATCTTCCGCTCGTTCAGATGCTCCTTCTCCTGCTACTCCTCTCTTCACGGATTCCGTCAGCAGTCTTTCTTGGAATCCGTTTCCAAGAGACAACAGTTTGCGAGCACGCACCCGACGGTGCAGAAAGCTGAACGTCCTCCTGTCCAAGTTGCTGGTGCTGCAGTCCCTCCCTTTCCAAGTGGTGGACTCAGCACCTTTCCGAGAAATGATGGCTTGTGCCGCGCCGCGGTGGAGAGTGCCAAGCCGTCATTTCTTCGCCAAAAAGGCAGTGCCAGCCCTGCATTCACATGTAGAAGAGATGGTGGGCCAGTCTTTGAGCATGTCGGTCTCTGCCAAAGTGCACGGCAGCGCCGACGTGTGGAGCTGTAACTACGGTCAGGGACAGTACATGTCATTTACGGCCCACTGGGTGAACGTGGTGCCGGCACAGCCGCACCAGCAACTTGGACAGGTCACGCCGCTTTTGCCTCCACGTTTGCACGTCCTTGGTCCAGAAAAGATGTCCGCCTCTACCACCTCTTCTTCCGCCGTGTCCTCAGCCGCCACCCCCGTGCCAAGTCCCATTACCCACCGGCATATCACATGTGCAGGGCGCAACGGTGTCACGCTGTGCTGCACCTG